GCGGCATAATCGACCATTTCCTGTCGTCCGTCCAAGGTTAACTCCTCTCCATTTCCTCTTTGCTCTAATGATCAGGGCCACAGGTTTCACTCTTATTGGTATTATCGATCGGGCAATCTCATTGATGTGCCATGAGGGGAGGTTGATCTCTCTAAACAATGAGGCATCAATGCTAATAGGTTTTAAAAACAGATTGATAAGTTTTTTTTTTTTTTACCAGATTGATAAAGTTTCAAATTTGCATGTCCTAGGAAGATGATTTTATAATTCTGCCATGCGTTCGACGAGGGCTGCTCGGAGAGAGAAGGAGAGGGAGAGGAGATGGGGACAGAGAGGAGGGAGAGGGGACGAGGATAGAGAGGGAGAGAGGGATAGCAGATGAGAGGGAAGGGATAGAAGATGAGGAGAGGATAGAAGGAGAGAGGAGGGAGAGGGGTGATGAGAGGGAGAAGAGGGAGATAGAGGGATAGAGCAGGAGATGAGAGGATAAGAGACGAGGAGAGGGTAATAGAATAGAAAAGGAAGGATAGAGAGGAAGAGGAGAGGGGACTAGAGAGGAGAGGGATAGAGATAGAGGAGAGGATATAGAGTAAGAGTAAAAGAGGGGATAAAGAATGTTGAAGAGTAGATATCAATGGGTATCCCTAGAATGAGCAACTTATGTGCATAGAGAGGGAGAGATAGAGATGCGAGAGAGAAAGGTATAAGAGGGAGGGGTACTTGATCAGGGAGAGAGCAGAGAGGAGAGGTAAGGGGGATAGAGAGAGGAGCGAGAGGAAGACGGGCGGCGATACAGGAGAGAGAGGGGGATGAGGGAGAGGGGGATAAAGGAGAGTAAAGAAGGAGAGGATAGAAAGGAGAGGTGAAGTGAGAGAGAAAGGGATAGAAAGGGAGAGGGATAGAAGAGGGAAGGGATAGAGAGAGAGAGGATAGAGAGAGAATGGATAGATGAGGGAGAGGTAGAGAGGAGAGGTAGAAGGAGAGTTAGAGAGGAGAGGGGGGTAGAGAGGATAGAGAGGAGAGGGGATAGAAGCGGATAGAGGGATAGAGATTGAGAGGGGATAAGAGAGATGGGAGAAGAGGGAGATGGTAGAAGGAGAGGGGATAGAAGGGAGAGGGATAGAGGGAGAGGGGATAGAGAGGAGAGGGATAGAAGAGGAGAGGAGAGGAGAGAGAAGACAGAGAGAGAGAGGAGAGGAGAGGAGAGGAGAGGAGACGGAGGAAGAGAGAGAGGAGAGGGAGAGGAGAGGAGTGAGAGATGAGAGAGAGAAAGAGAGGGGAGAAAGGAATGGGAGGGAGAGAGAGGAGAGGGAGAAGGAGAAGAGAGAGGGGGAAGAAGAGGAGAAGGAGAGAGAGAGGGAGAGGAGGAAGGAGAGAAGAGAGGAGATAAGGGAGAGAGAGAGAGAGAGAGAGAGAGAGAGAGAGAGAGAGAGGAGAGGACAGAGCGAGAGGTGCAGAAGAGAGAGAGAGACGAGAGAGAGAGAGAGAGGAGAGAGAGAGAGGAGGAGAGAAGAGAGAGACGAGAGAGAGAGAGAGAGAGAGAGAAAGAGGAGGAGGGAGAGAAGGAGAGAATCAGAATCAATCAGAATCAAATAATTTATTTAGCCCCCCCCCAAAAAAAAAAAAAAATACAAAAGCATGATACATAATACAATATGGCTGAGCCCTCCAGGAGTTTGACATTTCAGAAGGCCCCTGGTGCAACAATTATGGATGTTTAACAACCGTATACATAATACAAACAAGGCTATATACATACACATTAAACTGATACACATATACAAATTTGAAGCAAACTAGAATTACCTGTATTACTAGAACATCCAGTATCATTGTCATCAAATATAACTATTTACATTATTTTACATCTCATATAATTATTTACATTATTTTTACAGAAACATCAAAGAAATTGGAGTAAATTAAACATATTACACAGCATACATACATTGGCAGGTTAGAGAGCATATTGAGATAACAAATATTGTTTGAGTGCGTTTTTAAAGGAGAGTAATGTTGTGCATTCTCTTACTCTGGAAGATCATTCCGTAATAAAGGCCCGTGATACAAGATACTTGTTTGTGAATGTTGAGACCTCATGAATGGGACAGTTAAAAGGTTATTTCGTGTGTTATACCGTTCGTTTGCTGTCGTAGTAAACATATCATTCTCAAGAGTATATATACATTTATAAATATACAAGCCGCAGCAGTATTTATATAATTATATTTCAATAATTTTAGCTGCAGGAAGCCGTTATTTGTATGGTCATATTTTTTCAATCCCAAGATTGTTCTTATCACTCGCATCTGAGTTGTGATTATGGGCTTTAGAGTGTTTGTGTGAGTTGCTCCCCATATGATTTGCCCAAACGTCAAGTACGGGTATATCAAAGAATTATATAGGTAAGTTAGGACCTTTGTACCTAACACTTGTTCTGTGTGATACATCAACCCACACAGTTTACTTAGTTTACATTGAATATAATTAATGTGCACTTTCCATCTTAACTGAAAATCTAAGTAAATACCAAGAAATGTTGTGGATTCTCGTCTCTTCATTGGAGTATGACCTACTTTTACTGGCGGCCTGACTAACTGTTCATTTCTGTGGAAGATGACATAATGGGATTTTTCAAGATTTAGAGTCAATTTATTCAAGCAAACCCAATTCTCAATACTTAGTAATCCATTATTAATTGTATTTGCCAACTCATGTAATGAATCACCAGAGATGTAGATACATGTATCATCGGCATAAATCTAATTTACTTGCATTGATTACATCATTGATTTAAACACTGAAAAGAATTGGGCCAGAAATTGAGCCTTGAGGAACACCATATGTTAATATACTTAAAGAAGAGGAATGGTTGCCAAATGATACATATTGAGTCCTGTTGCTTAAGTAAGAAGAAAACTCTCTGTGAGCTGAACCTCGAATTCCATAATGATGTATTTTTTGCAGCAAGATGTTATGGTTAACAGTATCAAATGCTTCAGATAAATCCAGAAATACCCCTAGAGCCTTTGATGATATCATTTGTAAAGTGAACAATGGCTGATTCTGTAGATTTATTTTTTCATGAAGCCATACTGGGAGTCAGTTATTATTCGGTGTTCATTTAAAAAGGTATTTAATTGCTTACAGATAATTTTCTCCAAAATCTTACTGAAAACTACCAGGACTGAGACAGGACGAAAGTTGCTCAATCGAAACCGCTCGCCTGCTTTGAATAGAGGATGAACTTTAGCTATCTTTGATTTATCTGGAAATATCCCTGTTTCTAATGAGCTGTTTATAATATGATGCAACGGCTTCATTATAGCTGGAAGAATCTGCTTGACTATAAACATGGGGATATTATCATGGCCAGGGGCAGATTTTTTTAGTTCCTTTACAACTTCTAAAAGTCCAGCTTCAGTGATTGGTAAAAGAGAAAAAGTACTTTGGATCTGAGGCCCAAGAAATGTCTGGAGATCCCCATTGTGATCAGCAACCATTTCAGCTAAATTGTTGCCAATATTACTAAAATGATTGTTGAATTCTGAGGCAATGTGTGCTGGTTCAGTTATTTCTTTGTTATTAACTAATATCTTATTTGTCTGATGCTCCTTATTATCTAAGATTTTTTTAGAGTCATTTTTACATTCACCAAGCTTATTTGCATAATGATTATACTTGGCATCACGGATCCTGCGTGATACTTTGTTACGCAGGCAACGAAATTTTTCGCCTTACGTAATTGGCCATTTAACAAACTTTTTTGCATCTGATTTCTTTCTTTAATCAACTGCTTGATTTCGTGTTTGATATCTGGCATATGGTATGATTTTCGATTTACTATTTTTTACTCTACTGGGAAGAATTTCTCGAAGGAAGGAAGGGAAATAGATATAAAATTCTCATAGGCAATAAATGGATTTGATGAGGCATAAACTAAGTCCCAGCACACATTCATAAGGCGAGTTTGGAAATCCAGAATATTATCATTTGAAAAATATCTAAAGTGTATGGCTTTTTTACAACTCGAGTGGCATGGCGAGTCTAATCTGAAGACAGTATAAATGGGAAAATGGTCAGAGATATTGCTGTACATAATATCATTTTTAGTTATCCTGTTAGTGCAATTGGTCCACAAATGATCTAATAGTGTTGCCGATTTACCTTGGACTCTTGTTGGCTTAGTAATAGTGTTACAATACAAATGCGAATTAAAAACAGATATCAAAACTTGTTCTTTGGGATCAGAGTCCTTGCTTAATAAATTATTAAGATCCCCTACAAGAATGCAAGATTTCTTTTCTTGGGCAGCAATATTTAGAAGCTGTTTGATTTTATCAATGAAGAGGTCATTATTACTTTAGGACGCCTGTAAAGTTGTCCAATTAAGAGAGAATCAGAAGCAGTAGTAATTTCTACAAAGACAGATTCTAAATAATCGTCAAGAAATGATAAATCAGGTCTCAGGTACGATGAAAACTTGTTATGAATGTATAGTGCAACACCTCCTCTATTGCGAGAACGATTAGTGAAATACGTTTGATGATTACGTAATATATAAAGTTGTTGCATTGCGTCAAATTCAGTACTAGAAGGCGCAAGGCACTGATCAAAGAAGTCATCAAAATGTTCAGGTAAGCTGCAGATATTGTGACTGATAACTGAGAGGTGGGTGTTTGCATTATACTGCAATTCATCGGCAAGAGAAGGGCCAGGAAAAACATAGGGACATGTAGGATTGGACATTCCAAGGAAATTCTGTGTGAAAGAATCTGGATCATGGTCAACTTGCGGTTTCTTGTCACCAGGTGAAAAATTCTCAAATACTAAATTATTTAAGTTGTCTAAACTTATACCAGGAATATAATCCAAATTGGTAAACAGATTCAAGAAATCAACATCATTTACAAGAGAAAATGGAAAAGTAAATGGTACAGCCATTTTGTGTTAAACAATATACAGTCTGTACTGTAAATAACACGGTAGGACACTCTTACTTAATATGGCTTACCTCGAAGCCTTTGGCTCACAGGGGAGAAGGAGGCATTGCTCTGCATCGGCTGCGGAGACCTGCTGTAGCGAAAAGCTCCTTCAGGAGTCTTAGCTGCTTTTTGCATAGGTGGGTCGTGACGTGGGGTGGCGCATGGAGGTCGCTGGAGCACAGGGGATGGTGGGTCAGACAGGGAGCCTCGAGGTGGGCGTGGCTCTAGTGGAGTGGGCAGCTGCAGATCATCAGAGTCAGACCCAGGAGGAGGGAGAGGGAGCGTCGAGCCAGGATTCGGGCGAGTACGTTTTCTTTTAGTTGCCACTAACATCCTGTAGCTGAAGTAAGCGGTTTTGCCTTCGCTCCTGGCCTGCCTCAGCTGCTCCATCTGATCCTTGCGAGCTTGGATGGTTCCGGGGCAGAAATCCTCATGGACAAATACCTTGAAGGGGGCATTTTTAAATTTGGGTTTGTCTCTGTAGACTAACTCGCGGTCTGCAAACCTTGTAAACTTGGCGACGATATCTCGAGGCTTATCACGAGACGGCTGCCCCACGCGATGTGCGCGCTTGATTTGCGGGGAGATGTGTAGATGCTGACGGAGAAGATTGGTCAGCTTCTGCTGACGCTGCTGCCAGTTCTCGCCGCTTTCCTCTGGGATGCCGGTGAATCGCTTATTATTGCGGCGATTCTGGTCCTCTTGGTAGTCCATTCTGTCTTGTAATTTAGCGTTATCTGCCTTCAGACTGTCGATCTCTCTCGCCATTGCATTCACCTGGGCTTGCAGCGCCTCGTTGGCTCTCTTCAGGACATTCTCTCGCGCCTTCATTTCAATGACATCAGCATGAGGGAATTCGATGCTCTTTGAAGGCTTGATTGGGGGACGGGAGTGAAGTCGCTCAATCTGGAGTGAGTGATCTTGGTGCATGCGCTCCGTGGATTCCCCCAGCAGCTTACCCTGTAGGTCAATCAGGGCAACAACTTCAGGCCGACTCAGGGCCGAGGTCTTGGTCGGCGGTGAAGGCTTGATTGGGGGCATCGCTGCAGGAATCGGGGCTGACGGTGATGCTGCAGGCGCAGTTGGTGGCCCGACGCGAGTCAGGGCTTAGGTGGTCAGTGGGCGCTGACGAAGGCGCAGCAGGCGCTGACGGAGGCGCGGCGGGCGCTGGCGGCGCGAGGGTGCTAGAGGT